GCTCTAAGCTGTTGTTCAAAGTCAATTTGTTCACTTGTTAGCTCCATTGTTGATCGGAGCGTAAACTGCTTCGAACGTTCTACACAACTATCAGAGTACTTCTGACTAAAGAAAAGAATGACGTTATGGGCTATATATATATGTACATTCTGCATGCATTGTGGGAATTTATATTTAAAAAGATTACACTATGGTAACCCAACATTCGTTTGTGGCATCTTTATGAAGTCATAAACTTTCAGTGTGATTCAATGTACTGGATCCTACTTGAAGATTTGTACTGGTGACAAGACTGATGTGTCTCTGCTATTGGAATGGGCGGCGTAAGCCAGTCATTTATGCCGGGAACTTATCACGGAGAATCAAGTTCAAGTTTTTTGAAGTCCAAGCCTTCTACATCCATATAATTTCGAGTTGAGGTCCAGCCTTGATTGTATAAATCAGATTTATAAACAACTGCTGCGGACAGCGCCCACCTACACTTCTGTCCGTTTTGAACATTAATTTTATACAACCATGAGCACATCAAAACTTTGCACCAGCGCGAGATGCATCGAGAAAGTGATATAACCCGATCCTTACACGCACAGCACGCCGTTCAGGACAAAAGTACGTCTCAGTTACCTCCGCGTGTGTTTTGACTTGATCTATTCCAGACGCTTGAGTCAGCTTTGTTGCTGAAACTCCTGCAGTGGGGCTGTCGTAGCTCTTTCGCTCAGATGAAGCTTGGTTGAGGTCGGTGACCTTCGTATACTTTTTGATCGTATACTATATTTGAACCAGTACGAGTGTAGTGGATCGCAACCCGCTTACCTAAGAGTAATTACAACCTCAACCCAAGGCCAATTTGAACTTCCGTTTAAAACGCAAACTGTATATTTCGGTTTTGTTCGCGGCAAACACGCCTTTATCTAAATCTATAGGTTTTCCTACCTACTTAATTAAAGCATAATTACTGGTTTCCAGCCACGTCTTGATGTCATGTTTAAGTGTAACCACACCACTGTGTGGTCACACCATCTTGGGTCACCCACACCATACATACCAGGGCACGTGAAAGCCCGTTACAACTCCTGCTACGTTGGCACCAATACTCTGTTGAAAGATGCACAAAATGTGATCAAACATCAATCCAGTGAGCAGTTCACCATGTGTTGAGACACCATCAGAAAGGTCATTCTATCACAGCCACGTCATGCGTGTCTGGCGAAATAAGAGTACTCATTTTCCTTGGAACCATCAACCCCATGGCTACACAACAAACAACCATACCTAGCTTCCTGTGTCGTTCGCTACGCGATTATTTTCCATATTGGCATCTGCACTCGTGAAGTCTGACCGCTTTTGGCAGCGCCTTCCAGAGGCACCCAAGCGTGCTGTCGCTTACGCCTGTGCCTGGTTCGTCATTTCTCTTTACGGTACATATTGGACTGGTGAAATGGCTTCCGTGCACTTGAAATCTCGTGGCTCTATAGACTCGCGTAAAACTTTGCGTGGGTAGTTGGTTCATTCGTGTCTCGTAGGTTGTTTGGGCAATTGCCAACATCACAATCTCCTATTGAAGCAATAAATCAGTTGCAAATCCTGCAGTGAGACGGCACCCTGTTGCATGAGCTTGTTTTGATGGTGATCAAAGGTCATGTTGCCATCCGCCAATGCAAGTTGGTCCATCTTGGATTTAACGTTGGCGATGTCAAGCACATCAACCTCTATAAATGTTGACGCACTATCCATTTGCGGGATATACGTCTTCTTCTAGCCGGCTTGTACAGGAAGAAAGCTTTTAATCTTTTGGCCACGTGCTTTGTCCAGGAAGAATCAGCATCTCTCGCACTTTGCATTATCACAAGGATTGTCCTGCTGTATCCTTTGCCACTGTAAAGCGTGTCGTTTGGGTCCTACTGTTGGGAGCTGGAGGAAATCTGCCTTTAGAAGTAATAAGATGTTTTGCTTTCTCTTTCTGGCTGTCTTGATTTTGCATGTGAAGGGTTGTGTCCTTTAAAGAAGATTAACAATGGAATGGAATACAACCAGATATTCAACATGCTCGCATAGGGGAACTGGTGCCCCCACCGACGCCTGGCTGGGGCATTCCTGTAGGTGTCTCACAAGCTCATGTTCATAGCCAGTTTGTAACGGGGTTACACGTACCCTGATAACAGGGGCGTGTGTCACACGAGATGAGCATGGTGTGACTGCACCCAAACAAGAATACGGTACGTGGCTAGGTAGCCAGTAGTTATGCATGTATTTAGATTTTATTATATATATACGAAAATATATATACTTAAATTAGGCGGCTTTGCCGCAGATAAAAATAAATAGAAAATAGTTTTGAATTCTAAACAGCAGACTAATTAGCCTTGGGCTAAGGCAATATTACTCCTGGAGTAAGCGGATTGTGATCTGCTAACTCGTACTTGTTCTAAGTATAGAACGAAAGG